TGCCCTGTACTAATGCACAATGTCCATTAAGTAATGTATTTGTCTGTTAATTATATAGTTCTTTACAGGGAAATGCAAGGGGTAAATCACAGTGTGGCCTAATACTTGGAAAAGAGACTTAAGATATGACTTGATCTGTTCACATTTCAAACTTGATATCAACACTTATTTCCTAATATTAATGTTGTACAGGCTGAGTAAAAAAAACCCGAAACCCAAATGTCGGGCCTATTGTTTTTTTGAAGTTCTGCATGTAGCACTTTCAAAATCTGAGATATAAAAGCCCAATTTATAAGCTTTCTGTTAGTGCAAGGATCATTCAAATCACTCGTGTACTTTTCAAGTTACGGAATTTTAAACACAACCACCGTTTTAAGGTTCTGTCCACGGATCAAAAAAAGGGGTGCGTTCTTTCAGCAAAACAACACAATTCACCCCGTACACATCCCTTCGTGATTTGTTTTCGTTGTGCTGAAAGAACACTAAACTTTTATTTGTGATCCGTGGACAGAACTTTAAAACGGGGGTTGTGTTTAAAATTCCGTAACTTGCAAAGTACACGAGTGATTCGAATGATCTTTGTACTAAAAGAAAGCTTATGACTTGGGCTTTCATATCCTTGAACTTTGAAAATGCTACATGCAGAACTTCTCTAAAACCATAGGGTTTTTGTTTACTCACCCTGTATACTCGCCTAGTTTGACAAAGGCTAAACACTTTGAAAACAAGCTCGATCGGATGTCGGAAGTTGCGGGCCAACGAGTTTGTGTTCATGCATGAATCACGTGATTGTGCCATGTAATTTCTGGAAGGAGCAGTGTTTTGAGAAATAAAAAAAAGGTTTTTGACACCAGAAACCCAAAGATGACCTTTAACCCCAGTTAAAGGGTTACTGATATTTGACAAAGTTTGGTTGAATCGGTCAAAATATGAAGGAATAATAAATATACAATGTCAACGTTTGTTACTATATTAAACGGAGAGACGTGATGATTTGTTGAGCTGCTATCCCGCAGCTAAAAACTGATAAAAAAGCGTTATCTCTATTATAAACTATACACTAAATATCTACATTCGTTTAAATGTTATATTGTTGACAATTAAATAATACAAAAATTTACCTGTTCCACAAATATTGTCATAAAGATACAGTCAGTGTTAATGTTGTGGGGCTCGAGTCCAGGACTCGGACTCAAGTTCGTCTCAAATCACAGTGTCAGCGACTCGACTCGACTCGAGTCACATCAGCAAAAGACTCGCTCTTAGACTCGGACTCCACCATCATGACTCAGACTTGACGCTAATGACTCGTGACTCGCGAGTCACCTTATTACCAAAAATTACCTTTAAAAACGTAATTCCAACCTCTTCCAGATAGTACGTGTTACAAATAATAACGTGTTTTTTATGGCATGGGCCCTCCCTGTTACCCGCGAAAGCCCATCAGTTTTACATATATTGCTTACGTGTGGACGTGAGCTTATCTACAAAACGATGCGCGTCCTGCATTCTGTGGGCATCTTTTGTTAACGGGTTCACAAAGAGTATGTAAGGAGCACACAGACACACACTAGCACTATTGTTTAGGGTGTAATTCGAGGATTTTCTTTTGTTCCTCTTCCCTTTTCCTTTGTTTATACTTCTCATTGGTTTTGTTCACGTTTTCTAATCGAGGTCGTCCTCGATTTGTTTCCTGTCCTTGATTCACCGATGATGTTGCACGTGTATGTCCTCGATTTACTTCACAAACAAACGCGTCCTAGCAAGTGTGTATTTGCCCGCAATCGGGGACTCCCTATTGTCCCTCTTTTGTTTGTAATTAACTTTTTAGGAAGACCTCCCATATGTTTTGTTCACATCGCCAAATTGGGGACCTTCGGGAATTGGGGACCCTATTGTCCTCTAATGTTCAACGTCCTCTATTGAATGCAGAAACAAACTCATTATTGCCGGTGTTTACATAATCACCCAGTTGTGTTTTACTATGTTTGTACAACACGAAAATTTCCCGAGGACTAGTGCCCAGGTCCTCGGTCAGCGTCGGGCCCCACTGTTCCAAGTCCTCAGTCGTATTGGATAACCTGTCCATAGCGAAATGTATTCATGCGATGTCGTGTGAAAAAGGGAGAGCGCATATATAGAAACATTATTATTTGCAAAACCAACTGAAGTTTTTGAAAGATAATTGTTGGTAAGAAAATACGCGACTCGCGAGTCACGAGTCATTAGCGTCAAGTCTGAGTCTTGATGGCGGAGACCGAGTCTTTTGCTGACTGACTCGAGTCGAGTCCGAGTCACTGAATTGTGATTCGAGACGGAATAGAGTCCGAGTCCTGGACTCGAGTCCCACAACATCATGTCACTCTGTCAGCCCGTTCGTTAGTAACAAACGTTGACATTGTTACTGCATAATTTTGACCGATTTCAACCAAACATTGTCAAAAGTATGAGTAGCCCAGCCCCAACATGTCCCATGACCAAAAATTGCATGGCACAATCACGTGACTCATTCATGAATCCGGTTCGTTAGTAAAAACGTCATACACGCACGCGCACCACTGATTACTAGCGCCCATTGGCTACAAACACTCGAGCTGCGTTAACTTCCGGTTCCAATCGTGCAGAAAGTGCTGGAGGTGACGTCACACTAAACGAACCGGATACGAGCTCGTTGGCACGCAGCTTCCGAGATCCGTTCGAGCTTGTTATTAGAGTGATTATGTGAAATTAGGCTAGTATACAACATTCATTTTTAGAAATAAATGTTGATATAAATAAGTGTGAAAAGTGAAAAGATCAAGCCGTATCAAAAGTCTCTTTTCCAAGTTTTACGTCTGTGATTCCTCCCGTTGCATTTCCATGTACAGAATTATTTTAGTAATTAACAGGCGAGTACAGTACTTAACGGACATTGTGCAACAGTACAGGGCAGTGTTTGACCACTCTCGGAACAGGCGTCCAAAAAACCGGGTCCATCGTGTATAATTGGGTCACATCTAACGAAGAGGAAAGTGAAATGGCAGTGGCGTATCCAGGGTTCGAATTTGATGTACATAGCAGCGGGTACCGCGTGAACTATTAGAAGATTGAATTTTTGCGTCGGGGTGATATAAATCAAATTAGGTTTTGACTGACCAAGTTAACTAAGACAAACGCGGGAAGAGTGAAAGCTGCGTTGCCAAGGAAACAGGATACCTTGTGTTACATGTATTGTGTATGATGCCTGAAATGAGTAAGCGGGCATGGAAATGCAAATCAAGCGAATATCTGGAAAATCAACAAGGTGAGGAAAGTGGCGGTGTAGTTGGCAGGGACGGCCAACCACTTGATTGAGGAGGCAGCATGTGAAAGATCAAGGCGGTGTAAACAAGCGTTAACAAATAGCAGCCGTGAAAACGATGTGCAGTGAAAAGCAAGTCACACAACCTGTAGGCCAGTAAGCCTGTGTGATGCAGTTAAAGTGATAGGACAGACAATGTGTAATCTCTGGAAACTTGCACCAAATATATTGTTGTACGACCATCCAACATGAATCCACAATCTGTTAATTTGACTGAATTGTTGGGTGGGGAGCCGACACCTCAACTGGACGCTTACGAGGTTTCCTTCGGCGTGTTAACAGCTCTGACAGTCGTTGTGATTCTCACTCTCAACCCGATATGTCTCGTGGTGCTTCATCGCGCCAGCGGCATCCAAGAAACGACCAAGGTGTTCATGGCTTCACTCACCGTGTCTGATATCTGCATCGGGCTGTTCTGGGTGCTTCCGCAGCTAACACAACAATTCAACGGGGAATGGGTGTTGGGTTCTTTTCTGTGCACCGCCTGGGGTGTTTCACTATCATCTTTTGGTGTACTGAGTATCTTTTCACTTGTTCTCCTGACAGTAGATCGCTTTGTTGCTATCGTCTACTCACTGCACTATCCGACACTGATGACTGTGAAGAAAGCAAAGATAATCGTCGCGATCACATGGAGTGTAACTTTGACATTCTTCATAATTGTATCTGGCATCGTTTTACCGACTGACATATCCCAGGAGGCACCTCACACATGCGGCCGCTCATTCTGCCCAATTTGTGAATCTATTTTGGTAACTATAATAGCAGCATCCCTTGTGACCATTTTCTTCCTGTACATGTACATTCTTAACGTTGCGCGACAACAGGCACGTCGCATCGCCGCCCAGAATCAGATCAGTGTTGATTTGGGTGGTCAGAACGCTCCGCAGAGAGTCAGCACAAAGTCGGCTAACACGGTGTTCATCATAACCATGACGGTCTTCATATGCTGGACCCCGTCTATCGTCTGCAATGCTTTCTTCTCAATCCCTGGAGTGCGTCTGCTCCCAGTTACAACCTTGATCTTTGCTACCAACAGTTGGCTGAATGTGGTCATTTACTATCTGAGGAACAGGGAGCTTCAGCAAGCCCTGCATGAATTGGTTGCTTCTTGCTTTCGGCAGAGATTCTAATAAAAACTTTCCACCTCGGATCACTTTTTCTCTTTACTTCACCGCAGGATGCAAGTCAAAACTCAAAATCTACAAACTATCACCACTATTTATCTAAACTCTAACGGAACACAGTCATGGGTTGACCATTGGACGATACATCCTTGTTGACAATATTATTGTTGAAACAAAATAAACTTTAGCTGATCAAGAGATCAACGATAAGTCAATGTGATGCAAAGTTTATTTTTTCAACTAGAGATTCAGTAAAAGTAAGAACGCTTTGTAAAACTGACACTCGATGGTGAATATACAGCATCGTTGTTTGACTGTACATAGTGTCGTAGTCGAGTCACATGCGTCGAGTCCGAGTTTCGAGTTTTTTGTTTGAAGTTGAGTCCGAGTCACGTACGTGTCATTTGCCGGTGTGTGCACATTTTTCGTACCTTGGTATCTCCTTGACAGCCCGTACATCTTTCTTATTATTATCTAGAATAAAATAAAGAATAAATGAATAAACATGGTGACTGCCCTCTTTATCGTGACAGCCAGCGAGCATCAGTGTCGCCACTACTACGTGGATGACGTTTACCACGATGGGTTAATCTGCCCACAGGGTGACTACGATAGTCAGAGGAACCTTAACTACTGCTGTCAGACCATCATTGGCAATGACATCACCGAGGAATGCTGCACTAAGAGTGATTGGAAGAAGAACCCAGACTCCAACCCGGAAGCCTTCAGGTAGGACTATTTCGTCGGAGCTTGTGTCAGTACATGGCAATAACGCATCTAGTGTTTTGCATTGGGTCAGGTAACTTGACCTGGCCAAACCGACCCAAAACATTGTAGATATAAACTGAATTCAAACCGAAACCGATCTGAACTCCCTAAAAATTGACCCGACCCAACCCGATCCGAAAAAAAAACTTAAGAAAAAAAAAAGACCCGAACCGACCCGAAAAGTCCCGAAACCGAACTTGGCGAGCCGAAAACACCGAATATCTGGCTTGGGCGATGGTGTCCGCTTTTTTGGTGCCTGACACCGTGCATGCCCGTGAGTCATTTTGGTCGTACCGGGCACAGTGACTGTGCAATACATATTGCACCTCGCGAATTTCTGAGCTGTATTTTTTTCCCGGTATATTTTGAGTTTTTCCAAAATGGCTTAACTGACCCGAAAATCGCAAACGCAAAACCGAAACCGACCCGACCCGATGAAATGATGGACACGGCCAGACCCGAAGTCGGTTTTGGGTTGGGTCGGGTTTGCACAGCACTACAGTGAGCAAACCTTACTCAAAAATGTTTTCGAGAAGCAAAGTTTAGGGAAAACAGAAAACCCTAAACTGAACAGTGTCTTCCTGAAATGACATCACAGCAACAACGCCCTCAGTTGTCCGGAAAAGCATGCACAGCTTAAAGAAGTGCACCTTTCAATAGAATTAACCAAAAAGGGATGTCAAATAGTTTTCATAAATTCAAGAGGGGTAGAAAGTTGCACAAAATGTGTTCCTCAGAAAAAAAAAAACAATCATCGCATAAACCCTTTAAACATCGCCTCTTACGGAATGAGTCTCTGAATGACGAACTGACTTACGGATTGAACCACTGAGTACAAATATATTGACTTTGGCAAACCTATACACTGAAAAATTGCCTGGGGTTAATTTTACCCAAGAAAGGGTGAAAACTGCAAGTACCTAAACTTGGGTTGTGCTATAACCAATTGTTTGGGTTAGAAGTTATGTTAAATTCAACCAAAAGTTGTAGTCATACAAGACCAGATTAAATTTGGTCTTGAATGACCACAAGTTTTGGTTAGTAAATTTAGCAGAAATTCTAACCCAAACAATTGGTTATAGAACAACCCAAGTTTGGGCAGTTGCAGTTTTCACTCTTTCTTTGGTAAAATTAACCCAGGCAATTTTTCAGTGTAGTCTTGTTGATGATGTTATTTCCATATAAGGGCATAACTTGCCTCGATAATTTGAATGAATGATAACAAAAATCCTGAAAGTTTCCAGACGCATCTTGTTGAAGTATTTTCCACACTGGCTGGTTTTCTGAAAACGGATTCAAACAAATAATCTTATCCCTAAAAAGAAGGATAGAAAACCGGTCATTAATTACATATATATATATCTGGTATACACATTTTTTTTTCAGTACGGAATCAATTATTGGGCTTTGTATTGGCGGGACGCTAGTGATAGCCACGATTGTTTCTTGCGCTGTGGTCATCACTCGGCGCCGAAGACGAAGGGCTGTCATCCTGACCTCAAGATGTGGTAAGATATGACCTTTAACCTTGAACTTTCGTTAATGTAGGACCACAGGGGTACAGACTAAATTGGGCACCCAAAAACATCAAGAAAAAAATTTGTGTCGAGGATTTAAGACACACATTACATTAAGCTGTAATCTGGTATTTTGGGGTTGATATATCATACACTCCATACTCCTGAAGCCAATAGGAATTTGGAAACATTATCCTCATACTCTGCGTTTAAAAAAAAGCTTTATTTTGGGGTCGATTACAACCTCAAGATTAGCCATGCAAGGGCAGAGTTTACAGTGGAAGTAACACATAAATGCAAATCGTGATTTGGACTTTTGGAATGGTATTCAATTTTGGCCCCTTTGCATTTTGGACCCGGAAAGGGGTCAAGACAAAAAAAAACAGATTACGGGTCCAGGAACTTGTAAGAGAGTACAGCGGAGTTGCCATGTTCTCACAAGTCCTAATAAATCGCATGCCATTCACAAACTGTTGAAAAAACTACGTCCTAACGTCATTGTTATTTTGCTTACTTGTAACGTTGACTTGTGATTTGATTTGTGATGGACTTATGAAAAACTGGAAACAATTTTGTATCTGTAGACGTGTTATTGTATTCAGATACGGGTTAATTTTCTCTCCCCCAACCACAGCTGCACAATCTACCGTGATTGGAATAGCACCGCCACCCAGCTATGACCAGGTGCCTAGGGTTGGCCAGTACCGGCAGTTTGAGAACCCGCCCAGCTACCCCATCAACTAGGCATCCCCACTTCGTGCACTCGACGTTTCCAGCAGTGTTCTGTGATCATCTTGGGGATAAGGTTTCTTCTGGTGTGATCAAGAGAGAGAAACTTGTCTTGAAGATGATCAGAACATACTGACCGAAACGTCGGGTGTCTACCCACTGGATCTGCTATACATTCTAAACAGTCACTGGCCAGATTTGACCCTGAATAAGGGTTGTAGTTGACCTGACACATTTTGGGGTCAGAATGACACATTTGCCAAGGTTTCCGGGTCAAATGACCCAGAAAATTAGTCAGAAGAGTGTCATTTTGACCCTGAAAAGTGCCAGGCTGAAAAAAAATCCGGATTCGGGTCATCCTGATCAGGGACGTGTAAGGTTGTAGAACCAGCTCCTTATATACGGCTCACAATAAATGGTGGGTCTAAGCTGTTCCTGCAATACCTCAGTAGCTTAATTCTTCTTCAGCATGTAGAATTAAAGTCTTACTTTGTTTTAAAAATGTTGCTGAAGTGGGGGGGGGGGGGGGGATTGAACAAACGTTGCTGTTGTTTGTACATGTTTATAAATATTACTTATCCCCGATCTTCCCCGCTCAGTGCCTGTATATTCTTTATAACACAACACATTTTGCCCGCAGTTTATGAAAATAAATTGAATTGTCAATCTCGACTTCTTTTTGGAGAACGCTTGGGACCAGTCGGCAGTTTCCGTGTGTGACATGGCCCGTTTAGTGCCTGCATGTATCAAGCACGTTTTCAAAGCATCTCTTACATTTTATACCACATTTTCAAATACAGATAAAGAAGCATCATTAATGTGTACCAGTGTTGTATACAGGTACTATGAGCACGCCAGTGTGAGTACCATAAATGTTCAAACGGTGACAACAGTGTAGAATATGCAACCGAAATAAAGACTCTTTCGTTTCCAATTTGACACTAAGATGGTGACTAAATTTGATGCATAAAGTTTTTTTTTTCTGTAAACTGACAATTTTCATGAATAAGAATGTTTGCATGTTTGACCTCAGTACTTTTATGACAAAATTGTAGACTTCAATGTACATTTAATAACGTTTTTTTTTTTCTTAGTATGTCAACAGTAAACAAAACATGTCTTTGTAACGACATAAATCTGCATGATGTCTCTAGAAAAAGCTAGTGGTCTTTTTGTAAAAGTTCCTAAAGGCATCTTAAAGACATGCTGGCTTAAAGTTTGAAATCTTTTCTTTAAGTTTCTCTTTTGTCTAAACTAAGTGAAAAGTGGAAATCTGTATCGGCAGTAGTCATGTATACTTGATAAAGTATCCAGTGTGAAACATTACATCTACTTGTGCATCTCGTGTTGTACCGCGTCGATTTAAAACATCCATAAAATCTATCACAAATTTGTTTGATGACAGAAATCCATGCTACGGTGAGTTCAAACAAAATGGAACATTTATTATTGAGTTAAAATCATGATGACGTTTAGTTTTTGTGACATAATATTTCAGGCCCGTAGCCAGCTCGGAAAGATACTGTTTTGTGTGTGGTGTTTTTTTTTTTGGTGTTTTTTTTTACATGAAAAGTGGACCTTTCGTAGTAAAAGTGACTTGTGTTTTTACTTTAAAAGCCATTGCCAAGATAAATCTAAACGTGCGTACAAGGCATGGATTTGAATTCAAGCCCAGCCAAACGACTCAAGAAATTATATATTTGGTCTGAAGCTTTTTTAACCAATATTGAAGAACTTGCTCGTTATTTATAGGCATGTGAGGGCACTGTTTTAATGTTACCCGAGCCGCAGACAAGGAAACTGCGTGCGTTGCATTCGCCACTCATGCATGATGCAAGAACAAACCCCAAAGAATCAAAGCGGCTTTGATGAAAGAATTTCACTTTGTTTCGCGGTTCAGTCTATCTTTCGCTTTACTAAATGTTCGTTGATAAGATTACAGTTTGGAAAGGCACTCGGCTTAAAGAAAGTTTTTTTTTAAAGAAGGATCATTTTTACCCGGAAACAATATGTAAAACAGCCTTTTATCCCACTTGACGAAATTTTAAATGGCCTTGACAATTCAAACGAGCAATTACTCTTTGATTTACAATTGTGAGATTTTGTCTTGTACTGCAACCAGGGAAACAACCAAATGAAAGATCTCGTAGAACGCCGGACAGTAGTACCATGAAATGAATTTGATAATTATTAAAATGGTATTCCATCAACATTTCATACTTCCTTTAATCGATTTAGTTAGCAAAATGTCCCATCTGGATCACCGCTAGCCAGCAGTAGTTTTTTTAGGTACTAGGATATAATGGGTCGTTATTTTGTGCATTTTTGTTTCGCAGTGCGATGTTTTCATCACACTTGTACGGCTAATCTGGAATAATTTCGGAAAAATAGTAATTCTGAAGTTATAACAATTGCCTACCATAGTACTTGCCTCGTGAGGGGATTCTTTATTTTTAGTTTACGTCATTCTATCTTGCCACGATGTACAGAAATTGGAACTTGTTGGTACCATGAAGTTCAGAGTTCAGACTCGGCGACAAAGACGCATTATATTTGAATGTGATCAATGCCTGACATTATTAAACTTGTGCATGTATTATGCAAAACTGACGATGCTTGACGACCATGGCCCGCACCGTGCTAGACTTGACCCAAGTCGGGATTCTGTATGCCGTTGATCATGGTCCGTGTTCCGTGTATGTATATAGTGCGCTGTCCGCGCTCATCAGTAGTGCGTCCTCATGCGCCGCCCCCGCTATGCCCTATGTGGATCGAGAACCCCGACTTGCCGGATCTGCCACACGTTTGTAAACAACCAACGAGCTCATCTACCGAAAATGGTAACGGCCAATCAAATTGCAGAAGTTTAGAAATAAATATATATCTTTAATAATGAGAGAACTTTGACCTTCGAGCGTGTAAATGAATGTACTCTAGGTACGTATACAACATCATTAGACCAAAAAAAAGACGGATCACGTTCTGTGAATCAAATTGCAGAACTTTTCTCCACCTATTTTGTTTGGCAACTGAGACCGAGTTGACTTGGGACCGAGTTGACCCCGACTGAGTTGGTTTCGAGTCAACTCGGTCCCAACCCAAGTCAGTTCGAGTCAACTCATTACCAAGTCAACTCGGTCCCATGTAAACTCGGTCCCATGTCAACTCGGTCCCAAATTAACTTGACGGGGGAGAAAATGCTCTAGCAAAGCACTACAGGGGCAAAAATCAAATTGTGCCATGTTATGGGGCCGTGCGTGCCATGTTAGGGTACATCAACAATACGCGTTAAAGTGGATGTCATAAACTGCGGATATCACGCCTTGCTGAGGTCACGCGTTTCCACACAAACCTGGGCTTATAGCACGGTGGTCACTTTTTCATTATTTTTTTATTCGTTGGAAAATAAAATAAATTACTGCATACGTTACTTAACGATGCCGTCATTTTGTGGGCACCGCTACCGCTTTGTGGGTAACCACTTTAACGGGTTTTGTTGATGTACCCTAACATGGCACGGCGCCTCTAACATGACGCAGTTTGATTTTCGCTCCCATGTAACAGTGCCTTGAGCAGTTTCCCCCAGCAAGTTGATGTGGGACCGAGTTGACTTGGGACCGAGTAGACCTGAGACCGAGTTAACGTGGTTCCGAGTTGACTTGGTAATGATTGACTCGAACTGACTCGGTCCCAAGTCATCTCGGTCATAGGTGCCAAACAAAATAAGTGGAGAAAGTTTCTGGAATTTGGTTCACAAAACGTGATCCGTCTTTTTTGTGCATGTAATTTTCCGTGGGTACCCTTTTGATGTACTTATTTGGCTTAATCATTGATTTCGAGGTTATACCGATTGTACCTCCCTTTATACTTGAAGCAGCGTGTTTTCCCGCCAGCGGCTGCCGCAGCAAGTCGCTCATTGCCCCGGGCGCTGTACTAGCGCCACCGTACACAGTCACGCTCGATGTATACGCGTAGAACCGTGCGATATATGGCCATCGTGACTAGTGTTGTGCATACCTAAATTCTCAGTTATTTTTTAAGAATCACCGACCTGAAATATAGTTTATATTAATAAAGACGAGGTTTTTATCACATTTGAGGGTCATTTTCGATGGCTTTAGTGGCGCAAATTAAAATAAATCAGACCCAAATACACAATACTATATGTTTTCTATAGCGATTGCGGTGCGGCGACCCCCACTCAATCCCACAATGCACTGCGGTAAACATTGCGTGACGTAATTAGTAAAGAGGATATATCAAAAATAACATTCTTTCATACGCATGATGCATAATGTTGTAACAGACGCTTTTTTTTCAAACGTCTATTACCTTGGTTAAAATGAACGAGTCTAAATGTTTGGCTACTTTGATTGGCGCACTGTTGGCATACATCATGCATAATCACGTAATGCATATGCAAATATGAATAACTACATATCACCGGGGGGGGGGGGGGGTCTTACTGGCTTATCCGTCAAGTCGGACTTACTGCACTGACATTGATGACATCACACACGTTGACGCCGGATCGCGGAACGGTATCCAGATGAGGGCGCCCTATATATTAGCTAAGGCCATTAATATTACGCGTATGGATTGAATTCTGAACAAAGCAAAGTACTCGTACGGATTGAACAAAGCAGAGTAAGTCCGACCTGGGTCAAGTCTAGCACCGTGCCAGACTGCGTACCGGTACCTGATAATATAAATCTACTTCCGCCACCGGCTTACACGCAATATGCTACGTGTGGTTTTCATTTGTTTCGATAGTCTGGTGAAATGGTGCCCTTTCTAATGCAGTTGGTGGTCTTCGTAGCACTGTGCTCCTTCTCCAAAGGTAACTCTAAAATGATACTGGTTTGGTTTAGTTGAGTATTGGAATGTACTGAATAACTGGCCATCTTTCAAGCAGCACATGGAGAACTTTGCCACCCATATGTGCAGAAAATCAAAGCCTGCATGCTCTGCGGTCACACACAACGGTGCATTGACCCGGCGAGCTGCATAGCCCCACTGCGTAGCCCGGACTATACATAAACAGCAGGTCGATCCTCGGAACAAAAGCGATGTCTGATTTGACAAGAAAAGTGCCCCTTGTTCTTCTCAACCAATCTAAACGGTTGTTACATGAATGGAAAGCTTATTGTGTTATCTTTCAGAAACCGTGCGAGGTAATTGTATGCGACCGGGTTCACACGTGTGCTGTTCGAAGAAGTAAACCCGCACCCTCAAAAATCGGGGAAATGTGCCGTGACCTCAATAGGAAACGCGAAAATTTCACTGAGTTCCCCGCTTTTCAATGAAAAAGTGCACATAATTATTCGCCTTTCATCATAAAGAAATTATATTCATGTGAAAGAGGAAAATCTGTATTTTGTGATGCGATGCGAGGAAGTAAGTTTAACCAACACACTTTCCGCATATTAACGAAAGTTTGCGCAGGGCGCCTAGACATGAGCCAGTCTTCCCACGTAAACAGAGCTCCACTAGTGGCGAGTGAGCAAATGCTCCCTAGTTCTCCATGTGATTTTAGGTGGAAAAATCATGTTTACCGCCCTACAAACTTCCTGTTCAATTTGTTTCTTTAAATTCTTTCCAATTACTCTAGGCGATATTAAAAAAAAAATGTTACATGAAGAGGCAGTTTTGAGTATACCTAGCTATTTTACCTAATTTGGGGGTGCTGAATCCGAAAATGATGGATACCAAGCTTGATTGCTAGTAGATTAAGCCTAATTTGCATAAATGGGTGTATTTTTATTATTTTATTTTTGTTAAGTTTATTTTGGTGATTCTACTTACACCTCCTGACTTCAATAGCATTTTCTAAAGGATATAAGTAGGGAGTCTAGTGGTTTGTGGCCGTATATCTAGAACCACGCAGAATTAGTCAATTTCAAACCGTGCCAATATGCATATGCATTTGTTAGATGAAAGTTAAATGAAAGTTCCTAGGGGTTTAAATCCCTGTTGTTTCAGGATTAAAGTTGAGCTCAACGATTGTATTCCACTTTATAAAAATCGATTTTACTACAATCCTTTAATCTTAAGCCTCTTAATTCTTTATTTCGGGAAAGTTGTCAGGAAAAGATCGATTTTTGGACCCATTTTTAGTTACGTTCAACATCATCCAATCATGTCCAGCAAAACCAGAAATAAATCAAAGACAAATTCGCAAAACAAATCACAAGTCAGATCACAGGTAACTGTTAATGGACAATGATGAAAACAGGGTGAGTAAAAAAAACCGAAACTCAAATGTTGGGACCATTGTTTTAGCAAAGTTCTGCATGTAGCACTTTCAAATCTAGAATATGAAAGCCCAATTCATAAGCTTTCTTTTAGTACAAGAATCATTCAAATCACTCATGTACTTTTTAAGTTACGGAGTTTTAAACACAAGCACCGTTTTAAAGTTTTGTCCACAGATCACAAAAAAAGGTGTGCGTTCTTTCAGCAAAACGAAAACAATTCACACACATCCTTATGTGATTTGTTTTCGTTTTGCTGAAAGAACACTGAACTTTTTGTGATCCGTGGACGGAACCTTAAAACGGCGGTTGTGTTTAAAATTCGGCGGTTGTGTTTAAACTTGAAAAGTACATGAGTGATTCGAATGATCCTTGTACTAAAAGAAAGCTTATGACTTGGGCTTTCATATTCTAGATTTGAAAATGCTACATGCAGAACTTCACTAAAACAATGGTCCCGCAAGGGCGGATCCAGGGGGGGGGGGCCAAAGGGGGCCATGGCCCCCCCCCCCCCCCCAAAACGAAACCAATTTTTTTTTTTTTTAATGTGACATCGCAATAAAGGCAGGCAATGAGTACACCACCATCTTTTCCTCAAAAAAAATTGGTTAAAGTGGTCAGAAATTGCCTCAGATCGCACCACAGAGCATCTAGAATCCAAAAAATTTTCGGGGCCCTCACGGGCCCCGAACCCCACGCCGTAATTTTTGAGACCCACTTTTTTGGGGGGGAACAAATTTTTTTTTGGCCCCCCCCAAAATTGTGTTCTGGATCCGCCCTTGTGGTCCCGACGTTTTTTTTTTACTCACCCTGTAGATTCATTTGAAAGGTTTGTCCCTGGACTTAAGATCATTTGACGGGAAAAATATTGCAACCTGACGCCACTTTTTTTCTTCATTTTATACACTTACACTAACACTTCAGGTGTGATGGGAATATAATATAGGCTTAAGCCTTTAAGACCCCATATTCTTTTTTTCACTTCAGTAGGAATCTAGCGTATTCTTGAATAGATTGATTGTTTTGGCATCCACTAGGGCCTACATGTGCTGGGAGACTGTTCCGCCACTTGTTGATTACCCGGAGAGAAAAAACCTTTTTTCCTGCAGTTCAGTCCCTTCTTCAGTGCTGGCTTGAACAATTTGTGTGACTGTGACCCATGAGCTGATTTGAATTCCTAGTGAATATAGCGATGCCTAGCTTCTTCAGTATACCTTCCTATCCATTGAGGACTTGAATATATTGATATATCTTCTCCATGAAGGTCATTCGTTGCACAAAATGATGATGAGACAGGAATCTGGGACCGAGAAACCTTTCCAATTTTGTTAGGAAATATATTTAGAAAATTTTCTCGACTCTCCATACACTTTGTGCACAATCGCAGAAGTGGCGTCATGTTTCAACATTTTTTTCCCCATTTGACCAACGATTGACTTGTGATATACCTTCTGAAATATGTGAAAGCTGTTTTTTTGGTCCTTCGTTTTCCCTACTGGTGCACCTGTCACAGCCATCGAGTCCAAGTGCAAGGACTATTATGACGGTATTGCCCACCACGTGGGCCTGTCCTGTCCATTGGAGCCGTCGTCCAATGCCATCTACTGCTGCGAGTCCACCAAGGGGCACTTACAGTCGTGCTGTATTGAAACTGAATGGCTGAATCAAAGGCCTAATTCAGGCCTGGATAAAAGTATCGACGATAGCATCACACCAGTTTACCTGAGGTATCTCTCTGCCTACTATTCTTACACATTATATCGATGTTATTCTAAGTTTAAACTGCTCTTAAAATTTGCTGTTGTTTCTAATAAACATTCCACGTTTAAGGCAAAGCATGATCACTGAGAACGGCCTGGATGTGATTTCCCTACAAAAATGGAAGCGTGTTTTGGGTGGATGTGATATTGGAGCTGGAATGTGATTTTGGAAGGGATTACCCAAAATCACATCCGAGCCGGAAAATCACAGCCAGGATTATGTCCAAGATCACATCCTGTGTCAGCGCCTTTCCAAAATCACGTCCTGACCACTTAACCAAAATAACATCCAGTGTACTGGGCCCTACCCAATATCACATCGTATTTTCACAACTCTCCAAAATCACATCCAGGATTAAAGGGAATATACAATATTTGCAAACATCGGAAAACAAAACTACCAAATTTTTACGTAATACCTTACTAGGATGTTGGTAAATGACAGTCTTAAGCATCCTGTAAAATTATGGCACCTGGTGTGCAGTCGTTATAAATTTCCAACGGTGGTCAATGGAAAAACCTAACTGTTTTTAACTACTGCTCCAAATTTACCATTTTTTCAGTCCAAACTTTGTTTGCCATTGTTACATGTTTATGAATGGGTGCAGGCCAGCTAGACTGGTTCCCTTACCCTACACAGTTCCAGCATCTATAAATTGGTCCATTTCATCTTTATTGGAGTCAGGGAACCAGACTACTTGAACATTTTTGTTTTTCTTGGTTGTTCCAGTATTTCGAATACAAAACCTCAAACATGTCAGTGTGACAATACCGGATCTATTATACTTACCCCTGAAATAGGTCATTTCTGAAAATTACAGCAAAAGCCAATGATGTACATTTTTTTTTCCTTTAAGTCATAACCCGAATGTCACATCCTGGTTGTCCCACTAGTCCAAAATCACATTTGTCAAAGGAGATTAGTTAATAACAGGCTCTCTGTTATTCAATATCACATCCTTGTGGTCTAGCACTGGAGGTGATATTGGGATTCATGTCTTGATGTGCCATTTTGGAGAGGTGTGAGAACACGATGAGATTTTGGGTAAGGCCCAGTACATGGATGTGATTTTGGTTAAGTGGCCAGACAGTGGATGTGATTTTGGCAAGGTGCTAACACAAGATGTGATCTTGGACTTCAACGACTTTATCTCGGATGTGATTTTGGTGGTGTGGATGTGATATTTAGTAATCTCTACCAAAATCACATCCAAGCGAGTCATCTTTACATTTTTGTAGAGAAATCACATCCGGGTCGTTCAAGTGGAAGTTAGTGGTTCAAAATGTACACGTATTTGTTGGAGCTGAAGAATGGGATTTATATGGAACATTTTCATGAGCTGGTTTTAGACTTGAGGGAGACAAATTTGTACATACATTAGTGGAGGTTTCAAAAAAATAGGGACGTAATGGATATTTCTTTGTTAAATATAGGCTGATTATGCAAAGTGTTGTCCCTAGTGACGTGACACATGTGACGTCAGATATCACATTAACGGGAATGTACAGCATTTGCTTTTGCTGCAATTTTCAGAAATTAATGGATTTGGAGGATTAGTATGCTATAGCAAATACTGTTAAGCTGACTTGTTTCACGTTTTGGGCTTGTTTATGCTGGAAAAACCAAGAAAACCAATCATTTTCTTGTAGTCTGGTTCCCCGACCCCACTTTAGATGAAACGGAGAAACGTAAAGACTTTTGGGAATTGTAAGGTCAAAGAATCACTCTAGCAGGTTTGTACCCCTTTACATGTGTGTAATCTATTGCAAAGAAAATGCGGCATAATTAAATATGAAAAATAGGAGCAGTTTTTGAAAAAAAGCCAGTTTTTCCAACGCTGGTCGGCCGACCAGCGTTGGAAAAATACAGTTTTTCTTGAAAATGTCAGCACACCAGGAGCCACGATTTTACACGATGCTTTAGAATGTCAATCCCTAACAATTCAGTAAGGTATTTTGTGATAATTTGGTCATTTCGTTTTTTTGATGTTTGCAAATGTTGTATCTTCCCTTTAATAAAACCTAATTCGTCTCATAATATAGCTGTCATTTTATATCCATAAAACAAATCTATATCTCTTTTATCATTTGATTTGTCGGAGAGCAGGAACAAGTTTATTAGAAGAAAGGAGAGTATAAGATCAAAGTATATTCATTCTCACTGATGTTCTTTGCTTGTCTGTTTTTCTTCAGCCCCTATTTGTATTTGAGCGTTCCAGTTGCATTGATCCTTGTCGGTCTAATTGTTGGTATTGCGTCTAAAGTCGTTCGTTGTAAAACCTGTGCTGCCAACACGAACTCAACAATAGGTGAGTTTTTCATGTGTCTCTTTGGCAGAAGGCCTACCTCACACAAATCGTAAACGGAAAGAAAAAGATGGATAAATAACGTGCGTTAAACTAATTGATTTCTTTCATTTAGCCTGAAAATGAGTGACTGTAAATGTAGAGAATTTGGTTTGAAACTACAGGGTAAGGACGAAAATTCAGTGTGTTTATTGCCACATTGAGCAACTTCGTACATACAAGGTGAATAAAAAAAAAAGCGGAACCCAATCCCCCAAAAATTGTAGTCCGTATTAAAAAAAAATGTAGCAACAAAAACAATAATGATTGGAAAGTCAATTTCATAATTTTTAGATGAAAAATTACTGACAATGCTTAATCCGTTCAAAAATATCACCATTTAAACGCAATGACCCTAAAACCTGTTTCTTACACAAACAGATATTGTGTATTCTGACTGTAGGGAACAACAAAGTAAATGACACTTAATGAGTACTGAGTAATGAGAAAATGAGTATTTGTTTCAACAACTGTCAACAACTGTAGTAAAATGAGTATTTGTTTCAACAACTGTCAACAACTGTAGTACACACTATCTTTATTAACAACCCTGGTTAGGCAAACATTATGAATTATAAAAAAACAACTTCTTCTTTTTTAAGACGGGCCTTCAAAAGGACTTTGTTGAACTTTTTTAACTTTTAAACTGAGGTTTTATCGCTGGTGATGTTTGAAGACAATTATGAAGACGATTCTTTAAAATCGCATTTTTTGACGAAAGAGGTTTTAGTGTGATTATGTTTAAATGGTGATAGTCTTTAAAAGGACTGAGCAATTTCAGTGTTTTTTCCATCTAAAAGTAGCTTATGAAATTGGCTTTTCAGTTATTATTATTTTTGGTGCTCTATTTTTTTAAATATGAAATATATTTTTGGGAGTTTGCGTTCCGCTCTTTTTTACTCACCCTATTTTTTACGGCAAGCAATCGGTATAGGGCCAGCCAAATGCACAGGAAATTGAACACTGCGACAAGGGCATTTTAATATCCCTGCAACTTGTGACGTGGACTTGTGATTGATTTGAGATGAATTAATTTACAATTGGGTTAGCTTGATTACAAAAGAGTGGATATCTCATGAGGGCGATTATAAATGGTGCACTGCCGACATCTTTGAGATGTGATACTATTGTTCAACAGGAATACTCATTAGTAGACCTCTTGCTTTAATTATGAATGATCAATATTGCTGTTGAATGCAATCAGCCTATTCAGTTCTGATGAAGCTTGAATTGTTTCCAGATACCGTATCCTTTCTTCTTCGCTCTGCAGCTACAACATGTACCGTTTTAGAAGTCACAGGGCCCACCTGTACTCATGGTCCGTACCAACTGATCGACAACCCACCTAGCTACCCCGTTACACCCTCAACTAGGTTGGGCCGTCCGCAGTTGGAGTATAATGCAAGCAAATGATTTGCTTAAAAGGCTGGTATTTCAACGCTAGGCCTACAGATCTTAAGCCTCTTGGCTAATACTGAACTGAAATCATATTACATCAAGACAGCTAGAAACATTGCTTTAGGAAAAATAGTGCATTCGTCTGTTTTGATGGAATAAGTTCAGGTATGTTTTAAAAAATAGACTCAGACAAACGCAATGTACACGCATGTGTATTATAGTAATGGTTTACACGGTAAAGTTGATGATTTTAGGATGCACTCGACCTCACCTGAGATTTCATATGAACAGTTTATTTCAAAACGCGATATTTATCCATTTGAAAAAAGGTGGGAAATTTGCACTGTTATAAAACTTTGAAAAATAAAAAGAATAGAACCACTGATTCTAAACTTCATATTTTTTTTTAACGTGTTCTCAGATTGCGTTTAAGTATACAACAGCAGTTGAAACTTACTTTAAGCAACCAGGAGAGGGCGGGATTCTTAAAGGGAACAAAATGGCGCTTATCGCGTTTTTGGAAATGGAGCCTCCATATTCAATTTTCATCGAAATTGCACGATGAGACATCAAACGTTACTGTAATAGGCTTTTATGTTTTTCTACATTTTTTCAAAGCTCGTTCCCCCCCCAAAAAAAAAACAACCAATCGGCAGGATTTTGGCCGTGTTGAGCATGAACTTGATTCGCGTTGGTATGTTAAAATTTGAACGCCCGTTGGTATACCAAGAACTGTTCACGAGATTGAGCTCTTCAAGAACACCAAATCTGTAAAGGTTTATACTCTCACAACGCTGGTTAAAATGTTGTTGGTTAAAATTGAACCAACGTTGTGTAAAATTGTCCAATTTTGCCCAACGTTTGCCCAACGTTGGGCATATTTTGCCCAACGTTGGAAAAATTTGGCAATTTCACACAACGTTGGTTAAAATTTTAACCAACTTTTTTAACCAACACAATTTTAAACAGCGTTTTCAGGTTTAAATGGTTTATTTTTTTTTATTTAGAAAATGTCATTACATTTTTGTACTCAGTTTTAATTAATCGCCTTGTTTGTGGTCAAAAGGTAATTTTAAAACTTTAAAAAACCCAACAATTTGTAGAAGACCTTGCTTAATTGTCTTCATTTACCTTTGATGAATTACCAGTCTCAGCTAAATCACTGTTCTTGAAGTTCATATGTAAATAAAACTATAGAAATACAGACTCTTCCTTTTCCAAATGGACACTAAGATCGTTATTAAATTTGATGCATTAGATTTTGTTCTACAAACTGACAAATTTCATTAATTATAATTGTTGCACTGAACCTGAGTACTTTTATGAAATGTGTTTAGACTTTTATGTATATTTGATTCTTTATTTGATATAAACACACATCTTTGTAACGAAATTAATCTGCATGTTGTGAAAAGAAACTTTGGCGTCTCTAAAAAAAGGCTAGTTGTCTTTTTGTAAATGCTAAAATCTTTCTTACAGTCATCTGAAAGATATGCTGGTTTAAAGTTTGAAAAGTTTACTTTAAGTTTCTCTTTTCGTCTAAATTAAGTGAAAAGTGAACTCTTGTAACCAACCGAATTCGCCAGCTGCGAATTCATTTGTGTAGGCTACTTACAAATGTTTAAATAGTTTGAAGTAACTTGTAAAGTCTTCTTATGAATGTATATATAACTACCGCCCTTCTAGGAGCTCTCCTTATTTGGGATTAGGAATTAGAGTTGGCATAAGGCGAACACGTGAATGCCTGTGCTTAGTTGAGCGTTAGGGCGTGGTGCAGCTCGAAATTCAAGACAGTCACTCCTGTACTTGCCGTCCTGAGAGAAGGACCGACGTAGAGCGCTGTTCTTTCTCCGTTCTTTGCGTTTCCTGACTTCAGCCACATCACCTTTTCTTCCATTACAACTGTTGCTATTACTTTGGTACCTCATTATGAAGCCTCGCCAAGCCGTATCTGGCTTCTGACGGCTCCTGTTTGTGCATAAGTACCTTCCGGTGAGCTCAATTTCAAAGCGAATTTTTCTAATGTAAGTATGTATGTTTTAGTGACTGTATTTAAGTATTTTCATAATTAACATTGCCAATATAATTATGATGCCTCCATATTGCATTATTATGGCTAATTAATATCTTCATTGCTGTATGCCAAATAACCTCATTTTACAAATAAAGTTGGTTATTTAAGGTGTCGTTATTTTTTGTATAGTGCAAACTGTAGATAATTTTCTTATGAAAAATAACAAATGTTCACACGTACTTGTATAGATTAGTGTCAATGATAATTTCATTTCTGTAATCCATATCTGTGGCAATTGCTGTGGTAGCTGTTACTTGAGACGATACCTACCAGTCAATCACTCCCTGGCAGGTACATAATCGCTAATTGTTCATATTTGCAGAAAATTATAAGATTGGCATTGCGTATTTTCCGGGTATTTTACCTCACATTAACTCTACATTAGGTTTTTTGAAGAAGGCTTCTTCAATTTAAAATTTCCTGTTTATTGATACATAATACATTTTTGTTTGGACATAATATGTTTTATGTTTGGACAATATGCTGATTTTAATATTTCAAGTGCCTCGCATGTTCATGTTCTGTTGTCATATTGAAATCATGCAACTTTACGAATTGATCAACATGACCGCTTTGATATCATTTTGCAATTGTTATATTGTACATAATATTGCCGCCTTACTTTCCTACTCAGAGCAAGTGATATCAATGTTTTGTAATTATAAACAGACTTCCTTGATATCTGGTAGCCTTGTTGTTCCCCTCGTAGCCTAATATACCCCTCGTAGCCTTGTTTTTCTCCTGGTAATTTCCCCATATATTTAGTCAGCAAAATATCTGGATCACCGCTAACCACCAGTGGTAGTGTGGAAAATAAATTGCCCGGATGAATATTTATGGGCGTTTATTTTGCGCAACTTTGTTTCGCGGTGCGATGTGCTACTTCGTCAATTTTCATCACACCTATGAATATCAAAACCCAAAACCTCAAAAAAGTCAGTGTAACTATATTTGCTATATATTTCCAATCCCCAATTCCATCCATTTCTGAAAATTACAGCAAAAGCAAATGATGTATATTCCCTTTATGCACGTGAAGTGTCGACGTTGGGTAAAACACACCATCCCATGTACTTCAAGTACACCATATGATACATGACTGGCAATTTCCTAACACCTCATGCACTTGAGCTTCCCTTTTGTGTTGTTGCAAATATAGCCTCAACTGCCTCAGTTACCTTTGAAGTGCCTCAAGTGTTCATGATTTTGGGACAAAAATGTGCTATAGAGCACAGGTGCATGAGGTGCATTCAGTTTTTACATGTAACTCTAAAATCCTTTCGCAGCCAGCAGGCACACGTGCAGCGACTACCAGGACAAGTACGGCAACTACCAATCGGGCCTGTCCTGTTCTGTATCGGGCTTACCCGACCGGACCTACTGCTGTGAGTCCAGCTATTTGCAGTATTGCTGCACCGAAACTGAATGGCAGGATCAAAGCCCGGCCATCCCCGATGAGACCAATTACTCAAGGTATCTCTGTTCCCATTGCACATTCTATTCATGTTATCTATTGAACTGCTCGAAAAAGAGCATCCATGCATTTAACAAAGCATATTACTACTTGGCTTTGTCATCATGATAAATATAAGAGGAAGTTAGCTGACTGTGGTTCATAATGTACACGTTTTTGTTATGGCAGCGACAGAAGGTGTTTAAACTTTAGGGAGACAAATCTGTATATACATATTAATTGAGGCATATAGAAAAAATAGGGAGATAAGGAATCGTTGTTTTTATAAATATGCAAAGTATTGTCCATAGTGACGTGACAAATGCTGACGTCATATCTCACATGAATATTTATAATTCTGATTCGTCTCGTATAGCTGTCATTTTTTATCCACAAAACAAATAATCTATTTTATCATTTGATTTGTCAATAAGCAGGAACAAGTTGATCAGAAGAAAGGAAAGTAAAGTTCAAAGTATATTCATTTAGATCGATCTTCTTTGCTGGTTTGTTTTCCTCATCAGCAATTACACGCATTATTGGGCGATCGGTGGTGGAATGGTGATCTTCATCGCCTTGATCATTCTGGCCGCGATAAGAGTCACTCTAACTCGAAGACGGGCTGCTGTCGTCGTAACCTCAAGAAGAGGTGAGATTTCAATCTGCCTCCATGAGGCCTACCTCACATAAATTGCGACAAAACCTGAACGAACTATGTGCTTAATTAACTTGTAAGACCTAGCCTTAAAATGAGCGACTGTAACTGAGAATTTGGTTTAAGACTATAGGGTTATACCTGGGCTGGGAAAACTATAGGTGTGTTTGTTGCCACACATTGAGCTAGTTCGTACACAGTTTACGGCAACCAATCGATTGGCCCAGCCAAATCATCTTCATATCATCTTTATCAATTGAACAGTATGCGAACTGTGACGACGACATTTGTTTTGTTAACGTTTATGTACCGTGGACTTGTGACTTGATTTGTGATGAATTAATACGATTGGCTTGATTACAAACGAGTGTACATCACCTGAGGGCGATTATAGATGGTTTGCACTGCTTGCGGCCATCTGTGAGGTGTGTGCTTCTACTTAACAGGGACAGACCTCTTGGGCATCCATTGTTAATGAATCGGCATATAAACAAAGCACACCTCCAATATGGCAGCTGAATGCAATCAGTCTATTCAGATGAAGCGGAAATACTTTCTAATCTGTTATTCCTCTGTTCTCGACCCGCAGTTACAGCACCCACGTCTGTAGTCACAGTGTCCACCGGCAATCCAGCCACCAGGGTTGGTCCGTATCAACAGTTCGAGAACCCACCCAGCTATACCCCCAACTAGGTTGGGCAGTCCGCAGTTGGAGTCATGCAAGCAAATGCTTAATGCTTTACCTAAAAGGCTGGTATTTTAACGCTAGGCCTACATATCTTAAGCCTCTTGGCTTTACTGAACTCATTTTAATCAAGACAGGTAAGGTGGAAACACTGCTTTAGGAAAATAGTGTATGAGTGTTTTGCTGGAATAAGTTCAGTTTTTTTTAATAATTTTACTCAGACAAACTCAATGTACACGCGTGTGTATTATATATTAATGGTTTACATTATAAAGTTGACGATTTTAGTATGCACTCAACCTCACCTGACATTTCTTATGAAGAATTTATTTCCAAAACGCGACATAATATCCATTTGAAAAAAGGTGGGAAATTTGCAATGTAATGAAACTTTGAAGAATAAAAACAATAGCACCACTGATTCCAAACTTTATTTTTTAAGCTTCAATGTCTTCTCATATTGTGTTTATTTTGACAGCCGTTGAAATTGATTTTGAAAAACCAGGAGAGGGCGGGGTTCCTAAAGGGAACAAAATGGCGCTTATCGCGTTTTTGGAAATGGAGCCTCCATATTCAACTGTCATTGAAATTGCATGATAAGACATCAAATGTTATTGTAATAGGCTCTTATATTAAAAACAAACCTAAGCGTTAGGATTTTGGTCTATGGTGAGCATGAACTTGATTTTTCGTTGGTATGTGAACATGTGAGCGTTCGTTCGTATAACAAGAATTTTTCACGAGATTGAGCTCTTCAAGAACACCAAATCTGTCAAGGCTTAGTGTGACAAAAAAAAACAACTTTGAGCGAAGTTTTAATTTTATAGTTTATTTGGTGGTTTTTTTTCTTCGATTTAGAAAATGTCATAACATTTTTGTACTCAGTTCTTATTAATCGCCTTTTTTTGTATTCAAAAGGTAATTGTAAAACTTGTAAAGAAAAAAACCCAACAATTTGTAGAAGACCTTGCTAAATTATCTTCATTCACCCTTTGATGAATTAACAGTCTCAGCTAAGGCCAAAAAAAAAAGTCTCCGGTTTCTGGTATGGAGCTTGGCGAAAAAGTGGTGCGGCGACGCGGCTTTTTTTTTTTTTTTACCTGATTTTTTTGCTTCAAATGTCGGCTGATGACTGCAAATGGTGCCCGACTAAACCAGAGAGACCACATCAAGCTTATCTCGACCATAACCCAATCTAAAAACACGTTAAAATTGTGCAGCAGCAGGATTCTAGTCAAACCAGTGAGTTTGGCGGTTTTGAGACATCATCTTTCATTGAAAATAAAACTTTTTCATTTTGCCCACGCGCATGGCTACGGCGACGCGCGCGCATACCAGAAACCGGAGACTTTTTTTTTGGCCCAGAAGCAATGTTCTTGAAGTTCATCTGTAATAAACCTAACATAGAAATACAGACTCTGCGTTTTCCAATTTGATCCCAATTAAATTTAATAATTTGATTTCATGTTTTTTCTACAAACCTACAATTTTCATTAATAATAATGTTTGCACTGAACCTCACTTTTATGAAATTTGTTAAGACTTCTATGTACTTTTGATTCTTTCGATCACTTCTTTTTCTCTTAGTTTTGAGGTCTCTAGAAAAGGCTAGTTGCCTCTTTGTAAATGTTAAAATCTGTTCTTAAAGGCGTCTTAAAGACATGCCGGTTTAAAGTTTGAAATTTTTTCTTAAAGTTTCTCTTTCGTCTAAACTAAAACAAAAGTGAAACAAATCTGTATCTGCAGGATATACATGTATACTTATAGCCATTTGAAAAATCAATGCCACAATAAATCTAAATGTTCGTGCAAGGCATGGATTTGAACTCAAGCCAGGGAAACGACTTGAGAATTTAATTATTTGGTCTTAAGCCTTTTTTGACCAATAATTAACAACTTCCTCGGTATTTTCAAGCATGTGAGGGCACTGTTTTAATGTTACCAGAGCCACAGACAAGGGAACTGCATGCGTTGCATTCGCCACTCATGCATGATGCAAGAACAGACTCCCAAGAATCAAAGCAGATTTGATCAATGAATTTCACTTTGTTTCGCGGTGCAGTGTGCAATTTGGAAAGGCTCTCGGCTGGAAAAATGGTTGGTTTTTTTGGAAAGCAGGGGGAGATGGAGAATTGAAGAGCAGTTCGAATGAGCAGTCTTAAATATGCAACCCCCCCTCTCTAAAAATTTCCTGCTCTTTATATTTTTTGCTCTTCTATTAAAAAAATGAAAATAAATATTTTCTAGTTCCATTCATTAAAATGGAGTCACGACCAACATATAAAGACTATTCGAGGTGGGAAAAAAATCATGTATTGCAGAGATATGTTGAGCCTTATGATAATTCCGATATCTCAACGAGAGAGATATATTCGCCGAGACTACATCGGAGCTATAAGAGAGTACGAGGGCAAATAAAAAGAATTAAGGAACTCACCGAACTCAAACAAATTGTAGACGATCAAAACCTACAACTCGTCCCGATGGGTAGACAAGGCCAACCTCTTAGAAAAAGTTACATGTACGGGATAAAAAGATCTAAATCTCCCGATAATCGAAAGCAGAGTTGCATCGAAATTGAGAAGCATCAAACTTCAGATTGCGCTCAAAGTGAGATATGTTAACACAGACTTGATGAAGAACCTGTGACAGCGGAATTCACACTTACTAACGACCAGAAAGCAAGGGCGGATCCAGAACACAATTTTTTTTTCGGGGAGGGGGTCAAAATAAATTTGGTCACCCGAAAAGTGGGTCAAAAAAAATGATGGCGTGGGGTTGGATTCTAGATGCTCTGTGGTGCGATCTGAGACAATTTCTGACAACTTTAATCAATTTCTTGTGAGGAAAAGATGGATGTGTACTCACTGCCTGCCTCTATTGCGACGGTTTTTTTGGGGGGAGGGGGGCATGGCCCCCTTTGGCCTTCCTCCCCCCCCCCCCGGATCCGCCCTTGCCAGAGAGTCGTTTTGACCGAGAGAAAAATATAGCAACTGTCAAGGAAGAAATCGATAAAATCTTAGAAAAACACGACAATCTTACGA